AGGAGAGGAGAGGAGAGGAGAGGAGAGGAGAGGAGAGGAGAGGAGCTGTTTTCCTATGTAGGAGGAGTAGGGACATCAACCCTAACTCTCCATGCTGGGGGTGAAGATCCAGGGGGGAAAATGATCATAAAATCCCAGAATCCTATAATTTTGAGGGGTTGGAAGGGACCTTGAAGATCATCTTATTCCATGAGTGGGGACACTTTCTACTAGACCATGTTGCTCCAAGCCCCATCCAGCTTGGCTTGGTGATGCTGTTGAGACACGAGCCTGGCTCTAACCTGGCTTTTGCAGCACTGCAGACACAAAATTGTGCTGTAGGATTTCCGTGGTAGGAGCAGCCAGGAGCCCAGCCCCATATGGGAGCAGGAAGGGAAACGTGCTCTCCTCTGTTCTCCACGTCCAGCCGCTCTGGAATGCGATTTTGCTCCCGCTGCTTCCCAGGACAGGAGCCAAGCAGGGCTGGTTTGCTCAGCGCTGGTTTGCTCAGCGCTGCCCCTGTCGAGGGCTCTCGAGAGCAGGCAGATGGAATTTTCTAACCCTGCTATTTGCAGATCAAACAAATCCCCTGCGAACACAAGCCCCCAAGTCTTCACACGCCGGGCTGAGCCCTGTGGGAACTGCAGATGGTGCTGTGCTTGTCCTGGGGCTGGGGAAACTGAGGCACGGAGGGGAGAAACAGCTGGGTCATAAACCAGAAGGAGAAGAGGGGAAATTCTCTCTGCCCTCAACCCTCAAAGCTGCTGGGACCAGAATCCTTCTCTCCTGCCTCAAAAGTGATGTTTTGGTCAGTACTACTGTGCAGATGGGACAATTTAACCACTGCAGGACGTGGAAAGTGAAGCCCACAGAGGTGTTCTTTATTTATTGAGGAAATTTGGTTTATTCAGGGGTGAGATGGGGAAGTTCCCTCATTGAGTGCCTTTTTTTGATTTTTACAGTGAGTACACCCTAAAGGGTCTTTAACTCTTCCTCTGTTGTGTTCACGTTCAGATATGGGCAAACTGGGGTGTTAAATGATTTGCAGAATTAATCCAGGCACTCAGCCAAGCTCCAGCTGACAAGGGGCTGGGAAGGGAAGACCCTGCTGGGTGTGGGGCATGGTGCATCTGTCTGTGGAGCATCCGGCTGTGGATGAGGCAGGGTTGGATGCAGCCCCACCTTGGCTGGCCCCATACAGGTGTCCAGCCCCCCACCAGCTCCCATCTGCACCCCAACTTAGCTGCAAGCCCCAAATTGTTCTTAAAAATGCACTTTGAATGTCCTGTAGAGCAGTTCATCCAAAATGCAGTGCTCCCCTGAAGGGTTTCTGAAGCCTACACCGAGGATAATTCACCATTTTGCAAATGTTACCCATGGACACAATTCCCAAAGCTCCAATGCATCTCCCAGGAGCTGTTTGCTGGGGCAGGGAGGGTCTGACCAAGGCTGTGACAGCTTTTGGAGTAAATATTCAAGTTTTGAAGTGGTATTTGTGAGGTTGCTAGCAAAACACCCCCTGTGTCCTCCAGGAGATAAATTTTAGAAAGGAGATCCCAGTTAAGTTCTCCCAAATCTCCTGAGCCAAGGAAAAGGAAAGAAACTGTAAAATAACAGAAGTGACAGGTTGTTGCTTTGAGAAAACCATCCCTGGCTATCAGGCACCACCCTGAGCTGTGGGTCCTGCCACTGCCCCTGCTGCTCAGCCTTCTGTGCACATCTGGATCGGCAGGAACATCTGCAGGAAGCAGCCCCGAGCTGTTCCTGCACCCCTGGAACCCCACAGTGTGGGGTCACACCTTGGAATTCCACCCCTGTGTGTCCACCTGTCCTCCTGACATTGTGTTTGAGAGCAGGAGCCGAAGGAAATGAGCTAAAATCCCCTCCCTCCAAATCACTCTGGTTAAACTTCCAGTGGGTTTTAGGACTCACTGGTTACAAAGACTAAACTGTGGGATTTCAATGCTTTTAATTGCTTGGGTGGGGGTTTAGTGCACAGTGATGTTTTGGAATCAATTCTAAATAAAACAAGCTTCCAAGGAAAGACTTGTTCACAGTGCTGATGAATCCACTGGCACTAGGAAAAGGCTGTGTCTCCTCACAATCCCAACCATCAAAGCACAGAACATGAATTTTTTCATCTTTCTGCCTGCTACAGACCCAGTTCTTCTGTGCAGTGTGAAAGTTATGCAGTCTGGGTAAACAAAAAAAAAACAACAAAAATCCCATCTGAGTGGATCTGCAGCAGGTAGATGGATTAGATGAGGTGATTCATGCAGCTCAATTATCTCCTGAGAAAGGATTCCCCATCCCTGTGACTTTGACATCCATTCATTCAAGTGAGGTGACACACAGTGTATGAAACACACACAGGCTACAAGCTTCACTTTAAAACAGCTACAAAGGAGGGATTGGACTGTTCAAACCCCACCAACTCTTAAAGTACCACAAAATTTGTGTAGCCAGTACAGGAATGAGCTGTTGGCTCCACGTTCTCACCACAAAACGTGCTGAACCCTCCACACGATTGCAGGCACGGCTGTAGGAAGTGGGAAAACTTTAAAAACTGAGTCTAAAATATGCCAAAGAAAGAAAAAATATATTTTTATATAAATATATATGAAAAATCAGTGCTAGCTGGATGTGCTTCCATTCTGCACACTTCTCGCTCCGCTGCCTGAACTGCAGGGGGAACAACGGGAAAGAGGGGGGGAAAAAAAATCTACTTACAGAGACATGATGCTTCTCGCGGTGGCTTTCCCTCCTCCACCGACATTCCTGTGCTCCAATCCCTCCTCCCTGCCCTGGATAAAGCCCCGCAGGCTCGGTCCAGCTGCTCCAGCGGTTGGGATGTATTTAAGGCGCTGTCAGACCCCGCCTTTGCCGCAGCCCCAGCGCCTGTGCCCACCCTCCTGCCCCTCGCCAAGCCTCGGGACGAGCTGGGAAGGTGCTCCACGGACACGCCAGGCGAGAGAAAGGCACGGGTTTGAAATCCAAACAAGCCGCCGGGTCTGGTTTTAGGAACGCTGCCTGGAATTTTGCTGCCGAGCCCTTGTGTCGGTTGGGAGTGAATTAATAGCATCAGCTTGTGGCACTGGGAACACATTTGTGAGAGCATGACTAACAGGGAACATGTGGAAAACTCATTCTGGCAAAAGGTCCTCGGCTGTTTGGGGTGAAAAAATAATAATAATAATAAAGTACAAAAAAAAAAAAAAAAAAAAAAAAAAAAAAGGAGAGAGAAAGCGTGCTATTGGGAAAAAAAACTGCCCTGAAGCTCCTGCTTTGCTGCACTCCCAGGAAAAGCTGTCCCTAAAAGAGGTTGTTCTCCTCTCTCCAAGCTGGTGGAAGGATGGGAAAGGGGTTTTGAGAACCAACAGAGATTTTCTGGCCTCCTTGCAGCTGCAGGAAGGAGCAGCTGGGATGGAGGTGCACAGGAAGCCTGAGGCAAGTGGTTTGCAAGAAGAAAAACTCCTGAAAACCCTGATGGTCCAAGGATCACCTGCTCCATCCATGAGGAGCTTTGGCATTGCCATTCCAGCAGCATCAGAGCTCAGGGTGTCTGCTGAGGTGGAAATGGAGAGTCAGGGCAGAAAGTCCACCCATGGAAAGGATCAGAACTCTGGGGGCAGAAAGATTGGGAAGATCTGCACTGGGATGAAGGGGAGTGTTGGAAACCGTGTGGTTTATCAGGAACTTTTATCCCTGATGCTGACAAAGTAGGATATTCAGCTTTCCCAAAAAGGGACCTGGAAGGGCAATTCCTGCTCATTGGAACTTGTTGCCTGGATGCTCTTGCAAGGAGCAGCATCTGTGCTGTCATTTTATTGCAGTAACACTCCTCGAGGTTTTCTGTTATAAACTAATTACTCACTTAGCATTACTGATAAGTTAATTCCCAGTTTGGAATTAGTCACCTTAGCTAGGCA